TCTGTTGTTCTGCCTCTCTGTTAGTCTGTCACTCTAACTATCTGTCTGTTGTTCTGTCTATCTGTCATTCTGTCCGTTGTTCTGTCTGTCGTTCTATCTATCTGTCAGTCTGTCGTATTGTCTAACTACCGGTCTGTTGTTTTATCTGTCAGTCTGTCATTTTGTCTAACTACATGTTTGTTGTTCTATCTGTCAGTCTGTCATTCTATCTAACTATCTGTCTGCTGTTCTATCTGTCAGTCTGTCTGTCGTTATGCCTAACTATCTGTCTGTTGCAGTTTGTCTATCATTTCATCAATCAGTCTGTCTATCTACGTATTTGTTCATCTATCTGTCTGTTTTTCTCTCTATCTCTGTTGTTCTGTCTATCTGTCTGTAGTTGTCTATCTATCTGTCCTTCTATCTGTTTGTGTATGTGCTTTTCATTTGGTCTGTCTGTCTACATACATGTATATCTTTTATCTCTCTGTCATTCCATCTACATATTTGTCCTTCTATCTGTCTGTTTTCCTGTCTATCTATCTGTCTGTCATTCTGTCATTCTGTCTAAGTATATGTTTATCTGTCTGCTTGTCTACCCACCTGTCATTCTGTCTACATATATATCTATTTTTTCTATCCGATGCTGTCATTCTGTCATTCTGTCTACATATATATCTATTTTTTCTATCCGATGCTCTGTTGTTCTGTTTATCTGTTACTCTGTCTGTCTATGTCTGTCTATAATTCTGTCTGTCTATTCTATCATTCTGTTTATCAATCTGTTGTTCTGCCTGTTATTCTATCAATCTTTTTGTCTGTTTTCTTTGTCTATCTATCTGTCTTATAAACACGCAAAATGCAAAAAAACAAACAAACTATAAACTGATCACAGAAACATTTTCTCCCTGTCCTTAAATTAGTGTTTTAAAAAAGAATTTCAAAACCCTCCCGCTCTAAGAGCTGACAACTTTGATGTTTACAGTTGCTTTAGTGTGCACACATAACAAACATTGTGGTTCCTGATACATAAGACCACCCAGTGGATTGTGTGGGTGGTGAGACAGTAAATAAACCATCTAAAGGAGGGGGTGATGTTTGCCTGGAGAGAGCCTGGCAGCTCGGTTAGCTGCAAGTACAACTGTTAGCTTGTCTACAAACAGTAGTAGTGCTTGGCGCTCACATGATCAAAGCCTGAATGCAGCACGCATAGCTTCCATGGAGACGGAAAGGTACATTGGAAGCAGTCATGCTAGCTTCCTCACCTCTGATGCGATCATTATCTCCCCTGAACTTGCTTTCACAGCTGGTGAGAGTAACTCACAAGTTATTAAAGCCAGATTCATACATGCATTGGAATACATTATGGGAAAATAATGTATTCTGAAAACAGAATATTGAATGAGGAAAAAAACTGTAGGTTGGGACTTTTCTCCAGTTCTTCTGGTCAATGTGAGTTAGTACAGATGATGTTTTTAGACATCTTTATAGCTGAATTTACTACACGGATCATATATTCATTGTGTATTACCTTGTAGGCAGGGTGATTCATCTCAAGGAGCCGGAGAATAATAACTCAAAGGCTTTCTATTGTCCATCCGAACCCCAGATTGGGCTTTTTAATTTAAAGTCTGGCAGAGAGCAGAATGTAAGTCTTGCTCACAGTTTCAAAAGCAACAGCACAGGGTAACAGCCAGCTATAAATGAAGTACATTAAAAAATAATTAAGTATGCAGTATATGTGAAACATAATAAATGAGAAGTCTCAAAACGATGTAAATTTAGATAATATTTTAAATACTTTTTATTTTGATTTTTTTTTACAATATTTTAAATATTTAATATATGTTAAATAAAAAACATTATTCAAATGAAATAATAAATTATCTGTAAAATAAAAAGTTAAAATATTATTTAAAATACAATTCAATCATGCATATCAAAATGAAAAAATATAATGTGAACATGTCTGTATATACAGTATGTGCATCATGCTGTATTAAAATGTAATTAAATATCAACATTTCAGCAAAATTTGTTTTACTTAAATATTAAAATTTTAGCAAAATTTAAAAACTAAATAAATTAAATTAAAATTAAATAAAACAAAACAAAAATTAAAGAAAGAAAAATAAAATCTAACAAAAATAATAAATTAAAATCTAATAATAAAAATAAAATAATTAAATTGAATGAAAATCACAGTAAAATGAATTACACTACAAAATTAACTTATTAACCCCCCAAATAAAATAGTGTGGGTCTGTAAGAGTGCATATAGTAACAAAACAAAATATAATATAATATAAAATAAAACAATAATAAAAAATAAAAATCCACAGGAAAAAATAAAATAAAATAAAACAACAAAATCATAAAATAATTATTTATTAATGTTATTAACCTGCTCAATACAAAATAGTGTGGGTTTGTAAGAGTGTATGTAGTGTGTGTGTGTGTGTGTGTGTGTGTGTGAGAGAGAGATTTTGTAAAATGCACAAGTTCAAGACTGTCTGTCTGTTTACATGTGCATCATGCTTTATTAAAATTAAATTAAATACTACAATTTCAGAAAACCGAATAAAATCAAATAAAATCAAAAAATAAAATAAAAATCACCTGCACAATAAAAATAGTGTGGGCCTGTAAGAGCGCATATAGTGTGTCAAGTGCACTGTGCAAAGACTCAGCAAAAAAAATTTCAGCAAAATGAATATATTTAAATTTCAGCAAAATCAAATGAAATAAAACATCAAATTAAAAAAAAAAAAAAAAAAAAAAAAACAAAATAAAAAAAAAAAAAAAAAAAAAAAAAAAATTCACAGTAAAATGTATTACTTATTATTATTATTATTATTATTAACCCTCTCAAAAATTGGGTGGGTGTGTAAGACTGCATGTAGTATGTGCGTGAATGAGTACACTGCACCTGTCTGTCCAACAAAGAGCGATGAACATGTCTGTTTCCATGTGCAAACAGCTCCAAGGCACGTCAGAGAGAGTGATGGAACAGCAAAGTCGCGTAAGACACAGCACCTCCTCGTCTTATCGCAGAGCGACGTGCTTCTCTAATTAAGGGCAAGCCGGTCTGGTGCTGATGTTATGACTACCGTGACGGCGGCTATTTTTCAAAAACCACTTCTCTGATGCCTAAAAGGCCTCGGGGGAGAGGCAGAGAACAGCAGCCTCTCCACCGGCAGATCATTGATTAAAAAGGCTTATGAACTTCCACCTGCGCTGCAGGAAAAGGAGGACAAACAGGGCTCACTGCTCTTTGTGCTCAAAAGCAACAGGATTTTGGAAGGAAATTCTCTGGCAAAAATGTGCTCAAATACGTGTTTCTTTCTGAGCTGCATTTTCAGTTGAAAGCAGTTGTTTAGCAGCAGTTTTGTCCTGTCTTTTCTGTGCATTTCAAAGTTCTTCATAGTTTTTTAAACAGTCAAAGCTCTGCAACAATGATTAATTTAACAGACTGACAAAATCCGACCTTGAAAAACCTTTCGTTACTGCTGCAGAAACATGAGTCAAAAGCTGCAAAATGTCTCGTTTGGGAGAAGCTGTATGGTCCGGGTTAAATTATTAATTCTTTTTTGTGTGTCTTGTATACTTTAAGTTACCATCTGTTTACATTTATTCCATGCCAGAGGCCTACTAGAGCTGCTTTCAAGATCATTACTTTGTTTGACGAAGTGCGTTTCTGGGGTCTTGCACCCTAAGAAACTCCTGCCCAAAGAAATCGATTTGAACAAGAGGAGGTTGAGCTTATGTATACGGCACCATTTTTAACATATAGACTAGAGCGAGACTGGAGTCAATTACTGAACACATCTACTGGCTTCTGTCAACATTGATTTGTTTTAGACTAAGATCTCTGCCTTAGCGAGACTCCCTAATTGCACTGGCCCTAACCCTCTAATTACTCTGAGTCTGCAGCAATTCACTTCTTTGCACTCTGTTTGTTTACCACGCAAAGAAAGAAAGAACAAAATACAGAAATATAGAGTGGAAAAAAAGGAAGAATGAAGGGGAAAAAACAAAATTGAGCCGAAAAGACCAAAAGAATAAGAAGAATAAAAAAACATGAATGAAAATAAGAAGGGATATAAGAAATAAACACATTATCAAAAGCGGAAAGAAATGAACAAAAATAAATAAAGAATGAAAGATATTAGGAGAACAAAAGAAAGAATAGAACAAAAAGAACAAAAATTATATAACGACAGAATTAGCAAAACAAAGAAATCGCAAAGTAAAGAATTAAATAAAATGAAATAAATAAAAGAATTTCCAAAAGAAAGACACAAAAAGAAAATAATGAAAAACAAACATGAAAAGAAAAATGAAGGAAAAATAACAAAAGAAGGAAAAAACTAAAGAATGAGCAAAAAAGAAAAATAAATTAAGGAAAATAATGAGATTAAGAAATAAAAAAAAGAATGGAAGAAAATAACAAAAAAAATTAAACGGAACAAACTAATTAAAGAAAAGAAAGAAAGAAAGAAAGAAAGAAAGAAAAAACTAAAAAAGTAACAAAAAGAAATCAAGGAGGAAAGAAAGAGCAAAGGAAAGAATGGTAGGGAAATAACAAGTGCAAGCAAGAAATACCAAAAGAAAGAAATACAGTGCCAAAGAAAGAACAAAGACATAACTGAAAAAGAAAATAAATAATAAAAATAAAGAAGTGAAGTAAAAGAACAAAAGCATGAAAACATAAAAGAAAGAGCAAACAAAAGACATAAAGTGGAAAATAAAGAATAGTAGTAAGAAAGAATGGATAATTAAAGAAAGAAAGAAAGAAAGAAGGGGTAAAGAAGGAAATTAAAAAATTGAAGAAAATAAAATAATAAATGATGAAAGACAGGAATAAAAGACTGAAAAATTAATAAAATAATTAAACAGAGTAAAAGATCAAACAAATAAACAAACCCAAGTAAGCTTTCTCAAAGCATTACGTATCTTTCATGTTATAAACAGGCCTTTAAATTCTCTTATCAACAGAACACAACCAAAGAGCGATTTACCTGAAATTCTGGAGGGGCTGTTTTCCATCATAGCCACAATTGTGTTTTCCTCTGGGCTTCCTGTGGTTTGGGATGAAGGTTCCTCAGTCGGAACGGGTTCAGATGTTATCCAGCCCTGAGCCAAAACATATGACTCTGACCCACCTGACCTTAACTCAACCTGGTGGGAAGTGTCCTTTAGATCTGGACCTGTAGGCTGAACCGTAGATCCAGCTTGCGTTGTTATTATGGTAGGAACCGGTGGTTGTGGAGTATCTACCTCCTCTTGAACCACAGGTAACCACGTGCTGGAAACGGCTGGATCCGGAGAACACAAAATGTCTTCGGTAGTGGTTTCTTCTCCAGGTTGGGAAGGAGTGATCCCTATGGTTGGCGGTTGAATTGCTAGCTTGTCCTCGTTGGGATCAACAGGGCTTGGTGTGGTAGGCGTGTTGGAAGTGTGTGTTTCCGGTGCAATGGTCAACCCTAGGTCTTGCTTCCATTTAACGAAAGGCATGTTGACTTTATTCGAGGGATTGTTCTTGTGTTTTTCAATGGGGCGATGGACGTACATGATTTCCCCCCTGGCTTCCTCAACTGTGTCAGTCTGTTTCTCGTGCTTGGGATCAGAAGAACTGGACACACTAGTAGGTTGAGTCATCTGGAGACTCATAAGCTGCCATCTGACAGTAGTCTCCAGCGGGACTCTGTGGTCATCGGATCCATTATCTTGGCTGTCAAGGGTGAACGGTAACTCTGTTCCTCCACTTCCCTCGCCATCTTTTTCATCCTCTGCAGTTAACAGAAATGGAGGACCTTTGGGAATAGGGTAACCATCCTCGTTCAAGTCTTTCCCTTCCCCGAAGACGTTCTCAGGGTTATTCCTGGAAACAGGAATGGTCATGATCTCCAAACTGGCCCTTTTGGCTTCCATTGGACTGCTTGTTTGAGTCATGAAATGCCTATTATTGCTTGGGGCAACTTTCAAGGAGTTTAGTGGCCAAATTTGTTGGCTGCTCCTCATGGAACCGAAGCTCTTAGATGCCGAAGGATTTGAAGAAAGAGTCGGATCTGCCATTCCTGATCCAATCGCTCCTGCAGGAATGACAAAACACTGTGATTAACGGAAGAAGGGAGGAGATCGTTTCACTTAAATGTATGCTTAATTAGCGAGCAAAATATGCTAACTCCCATCCCAGAACTATGGTAATTAACTTTAATGCGTGCGGCTCGATATAGAACTGTCATTATTTATCTGTCAATGCCCTGGAGATATCCAGCAATTAATCTATCAGCCTCAATACACATATATTTTAATCAAACCCCTGTTTCAAAGGAAAAATGAGCTACAAGCGTAGCTAAAATGACCTTTATTTTCTTTCCAGAGGGTAATATCTGACTCCCCGGTGAAACGGGGATGAAATGTACATTCGTTTTTAAAGCAATCCAGGTAATAAGGCTCTTTTTCTTTATGTTGCCCCGGCACAAAGAACTCGTACATCATGCTCCTGTCCAGTGCTGTTAATTCCCAATGCTTTCTAACAGTAAATCTAGAAGAAATAAGACCCAAATCTTTATGTTCAAGAAGCAAAAAGGTCTTGATTTACATCATGATGTGTGGAGGTATCTATTTGGAGCGCAATAAAGTAAAAATGCTGTAAGCACTAGACTTATTATTCTTCTTATTATTATTATTACGTGACTCAGCATACGGCAGTACACAGTGCTAAACCAATCCTAAACAAAGATTTCACTGGTTGCGTGGAAGAGATATTTGGTTTAGCTTAAGTATTTACTGTGTGCATGGATAATTCATATATCTGCTCAGGTAATATGATTTGCCTTAAAGGAAACAAGCAGCGTTTAGCATTTAAGCCATTTTAGATATTCACAGACCATATGTTGAGTACACACAATGAAAAATTAAACAATAATGAATTATTCAAGACTCTGCTGTTGCGGTGTCACGTGGATGTGGTGCAATTTACATAACCAAGTAATTGAGCAATTAATGAGATGAATAACTGATTACTCTCTGCAGTCGGCAGGACTGTGAACACGTTCATGAAATGTACAAAAGCAGTCAACTAAATAGATTCTACCATTTAACTGGATATAATAGTGGGACAATTACCCACATAAAAGTATTTTGACTACAATCAAGATCAAACCAAGTTGCATCCACACACAAAAGCTGCAAGAGCTTTTTTATATCCATTTTTGCGATTACTTTTAAACAGTTGGTGTCAAGGTGGTTTTTAGTCACATCTTTGTGATATTGTATGAAAGTTGCATTTTGTGATATATAGTTCCAAATATGAATAGTCATAACTGTGAGCTATGAAGTTGCAATTTTAAGATACAAAGTCACATTTATGACATAAAAAGTTGTAACTGTGTGCTATGAAGTTGCAACTGAAAGAAAAAAATCCCAACTAATAAAAAGTTGAAATGTGACACAAAGTCACAACTGGGAGGCATAAATCTGCAATTGGTAGATGTAAAGTCACAATTCTGAGATATATAGTCACATTCAGAAGAAAAAAAAAATTAAATTATGAGATATAAAATCAGAACTGGGAGATATGGGATAAAAAGTTACAATTGAGATAAAATATCGCATTGGGAAAAAAAGGCACAATTATTAGACATAAATTCACAATTGTGAGAAAGTGATATTCAGACAAAAAATCCTAATTGTAATACAAAAAGTCACAATTTGGAATATAGAGAAAAATGTATTGACAAATGTGATATAAAGTTTATAAGATATAAAATCCCAATTATAAGACAAAAAAAATATTACATATATATATATATTTATATATATAGACAATGGCCCCAAGCACACAAGTCATTTTACCAAATATTGGTTAAAGGACAAAGTTAATGTTTTGGAACGGCCGAGTCTGGACCTTAATCCATTTAAAATGTTTTGGAAGGACCTGAAGCAAGCAGTTCATAGGAGGAAACCCATCAACATCACAGAGTTGAAGCAATTTTGTACTGAGGAATGGGCTACAATTTCAACAAACTGTTGTGCAGGACTGATCTGCAGATACAAGAAACATTTAGCTGCAGTTATTGTTGCAAAAGGGGGTCACACTAGATACTGAAAGCAAAGATTCACATACTTTTGCCACTCAGATATGTAACACTGGATCAATTATTACTTTGAGGCAGAAACAGGGTCTCATATTTAGCTTCAGTTACATGTATGGAACATTTTTCTTTAGATTAAATGTCACTTGATTTGATATTTTGTGTCTAATGCAATGGCATTCATGTATTTTGTGGTTTAAGTGTCCAGTTATATAGTAGAAATAAATTTAAAGTATCTGGATACTCAACAAAACAGATGCTTCAACCCACTGTTCTATGGGATGTATGCATTTCACAGAATTTCTTCATAGCAGACTTTCATCTGTATACAATTTTTTGTGGAACTCAAGGACATGGCGAGTTTATATAAAAGATGGCTGGATTTTCTGAATTCTCAACAGGCTCTATGTAATGAAACTTGAAACAAGGGGAGAGACGGAGCAGTATGCAGCGAAGGGTGAAATAGCCAGTGAATCCGAACTCGACTAAATGACCTCTGCTCGAGAAAAAACGAACGGAAACAACCAGATTGAGTCCAGAGTATCTTTACGCACACACTCCACGGCCCTGACGATGATCATGCTTCGAATAATTAGGAGAGACTTGGAGTTTGTAGCGGTGCCTGCGGTTTCGGCCAAAGCACATTAATTAGATTCAGATGTAAATAATGCATGCTGACTAAAGCTGGATTTTCACCCGGCATTAAACATTAATGTTCCCAGTTGAATTTGGTTCGTGGGGAGGATATTTGTACTGATGATGCCTTGAGAACGGACTGCTGCCAAAACCCATCGCGTTAAAACCACACCAGTTAGACATGCTTCAATCTCAGCCTAAGGCTTGCAACGCTCTAAATTTTGAGAGGTTGGATCCCATTTTGCTTTCTCCTACTACACAGCTTTACTTGGCACAGATATGACAGACATTGATATCCATTAAAAGCCCTAAAGCAGGAGGCAGGAATACATCTCAGTGCAGTGACCTCTACAGCGACCTTTCAACTTTCGTATTCCACAGAATGAATCGGCCACCTTCCTCTTCGGGGGCTGCGCCTAAAGAACCATTTGCTGCCATACTGTTTTTCTTTTAAAAACAAGTGGATGCCATATTTGATTTGTTGTGAATGAAAGTGATGCTATGGGGGTTAGAAGTACAGTACACATAATAAATGAGGGAGGCATGGTAAAAACGTTTAAATTTGACAAAAGGATGTCTAGTTACTTTAATAAAAATCAACCCATGAGACATAAGTGCTCAAAGATGAAGAAAAACCAATATATTGACCAATAAACGTCAGATTGACCTCCTGGTTGACTGACTTCTTGGCCAAAAATCTACAATAGAGAAAACTCTCACTTTGGTGGTTTCAAATCACCCCGTTCTATATAATCCAAGTATAAAATAATACAAAATGTAATAAAGCTCTACTTCAACTAAATTAAGCACAAACTTCAAATAAGAAGAGAAGCTGCATGTGTAAATGTACGTGTTGAAATGCCTTTTAAGTTTTGGATGACCTTTGTCATACCTTTGGCTGGTCCAGTGAAGCTGTCTGTGAAGGTCTGTGAATATGGATGATCCATATGAGAATTGCTTGGACTCTTTATCTCCTGCGGCGCAGCCACCAAGATAACTTCTTTCTCCTGTTCGAAGAGCTCTTCTTCTGGATCTGATGAGGAGGGATTATATGAATGTTCCTTGATATTAGGCTCCATGATGGCGTTATCAGCACCACCTTTGCTTGTTTTTCCGCTACTTGGCTTCGTCCTGATAGGTGGGACCATTTCTGAGGTACCTTGGTAGAGGCTGGACTCTGTGGCCGGTATCTCAGGTTCTCCAGTCCCGGTCCAGTACCTAAATGGCTTCATGATTGTTTTCACAAAGTTGGAAATGACGCTGTTGCTGGTCTGAGCTTGCGTAGAGGAAGATGGCGTGATTGAAGATGGGTCAGGAGATCCATCATCGGTCTCCTCTTTCGCCGAACCCCCTTGAAGGTTCTCCTGCTTCTCCACAGCATCTTTGGGATCGTCTTCCCAGTCTACAGACTTTTCTTCAGGTCCAAGATGGATTACAACATGCTCCTCTGAGATTTCTGAAGATTCGTTGTTTATGATGGACTCAAAGTCTTCTTTCTCAAGATTGACCAGACCGGTCCAAGTTGAAGGTTCAGGGAAGGCTCCATTTCTTTGGAGCTGCACCTCTTCATCGCTTGAAGAGTTCAGAGTGGAGTTTTCTAGGATCTTGTGGAGTATCGCCATCAGCTCTTCGAAATTTTTCTCTGAAAGAGTAAGATCGACAATGGTGGCACTGACACAAAAAACTACAAAGCAAATATCCATACAGAAGTCCATAAAACCAAAGTAACTTAATCCTCATTTCATACATTTTTCAGATACTTATGACACCAGGGTGAAACTCTTGATGTTACGTGGTATAAATTATTTGGAAATATGATCCAAAATAATGTAGACGGAATGTAAGAGAATTTTTTATGAAACTTCTCAAAGTAAAAAAAAAAAAGAAATCTCCATCATTGAGGTCAGAACCCCCCCCCAAAAGACGTTTTTATGAATATATCCCTGAACCGAAAGAGAGAAAGGACACTAGTTCAACCAACCATGATAGCAGTAGGCATCAAAGAGATCGCTAGTGTCTGGGAATCCGGTGCGATTGGGGTTGTGGTAAACGGTCCGTACTCCTGGCTCATCCCCTCCGCAGTGACGCCGGGGCAGGTTGATGGGATAACGCACGCTGCCGTCGGCCAGCCAGCCGGGGTCACAGCGGTCTAGGCCACCCTGCCAGGCCAGGTAGAGCTGCCCAACTGTGGCCAGCTGAGCCCCCAGAGTCTGGCAGTGAGTGGAGGCAGATGCCAGGCTCAACTTCTCCGGCACACTGGTGTGGAACACTTCACCTGGAGAGAGAGAAAAGATGGATAGTGCATGTTATTTATAAGTGCTAATTTCCCATAAGGATGCTGCTGTTTGCAACATGAGACCTATAAATAAACTTTATAAAAAAACTAAATATGGTTTATATACATAATAATGTTGAACAAATCTACCCTAAAACAGGTGATTGCTAAATATAGGGAAAACTTCAAATATGCTTTTTGTAACAATGAGATTGAATGTATTGTTCATTCATTTCTTACTATTTCTAAAAAAAAATGTTTTGGTGGGATTTTTTAAAGCTGAAAAAAAAAAAAAATTCAATGTTTTTATCCTTAAATGTAAAGTGTCGACCAAAATTTTGTATTTTTTAAATATATTTGAATATATTTTTAAATCTTTATATTGTGTACTTTGTACAAATTATATTATATTATATTATATTATATTATATTATATTATGTACTTTGTATACCATAAATATAACCAATAAAATAAAATCTAGACATTTGTAAAATAAAATATTGCAATTTGAATAAAATATGATAAATATACTAAATAAAATACTAAATGTTTGTCATGTTGAAAGTAAAATAAATAAAATCCACCACAATGGCAAAAATCACTTTGTTTTCCTGTAACAGATCCAATTTCTGTTATAAGTAATATACAAGGACAAAACTAAATAATTCTGTCCTCCCAAAGATGAATGGGTGGAAAGGCATTATAGACAGACATATAAACTAACACACCAACAAATAAAATATTTATAACCAAACATTTTATCAATTAAAAAAAAAAAAGTTCTGTAAAAAATACATAAATTAATAAATTACACCAATATGACAGGCATTAAACTTTTAAGCGATTCTGGAATACTAATTCGCAGCAGGAGGCAGGACTGTCACTCCTGCATGAAACACTTGGACGTGCACTTAAAAAAAGAGTATGTTAGAACTGTACCCGTTCTGGCATAGAACGTAGGGCTGAGCTGAAAGCATGGTGACCTACTTAGATGTTCCGGGAGTTGGGACATGAGCAGGTACATGCATCTCCGCCATCTGAGGCTCATGAGGACATTTAAAGACACAGTTTTTTTGGATGACTGAGCTGTAACTGAATACATCTACGGTACCTTGCAGGCTGTTGGCAAAACAGTATACATCGAACATCTCATCGGGGTCTCGGCTTCCGTAGTTCCTCACGCCAGGTGATTCCTCCCTGTCGCCATAGCAGCCGGGCCGAGGTGACTGGATGGGATACCTGGGTAAGGAGCCAAACAAACCAGGAGTTATTTCCAAGGAGTGAGTAAACTGTGCAATTACTCGAAAGCGCATTGGTTTGGATGGCGCAGGGGTGCTGGCTAAAGTCTGATTAAGAGATTATACACGGCACTCCAGGGTCATCTGAAGAGGAATAGCGGATGGAGGTTCTCGTGCAGACCAAATATTGAAGGCAGTTATATAAAACCATTAAAGCAGCCCACATATATTCCATCCCTGTCCAGAGATCTCTGATGTCTCCATACGCTTGCGCTAATTGTGCGTTTGCGTCTTCACTGATGTGTAGCCAAGTTTCTCTGGAGATGGCCCAATTAGAGCTCTTCCATGCAGGGAGGGAAAAACCCGCTCACGCTTTTATTCGGTGAGGGCCGGGCCTCACGGCTCAATTACGAGCTGACAATATCCAGTGGATATGAATGTTGATATCAATAGCTGCCTGACATTCAGCCATGGAAAAGTGATTGGAGGCGGCAAGCCTGAAGAAACGGGGCTGTAATACGGTCGATACATAATAGATATTATGATTAATTAGAACGGCTGATTATTAAATTGCTTTGAGTCCTGGATTCGTTCTGAAGAAAGTTGTGCTATTCTGTTTCATGCAAGGGGGACCAATTTATTGGCACAGCAGCTAAAATTGAAGGAATCGAGAGTAAAGCAAACAATCTCTTATTAAACCTTTACAAGATGTACTTTGTTTACTATTTATGTTATAGATCTGTAACTTTTGTAACTCATTTTTTTTCTTCATTGTTCTTGTTGTTAAACACAAATAAATTACTGGATGTTTGTTATTTTGAAAATAAATTATTTAAAAATATATATATTTAATAACATATAAATATACTAAATAAAAATTCTGGTTGTTAGTTATTGAAAATAAATAAAATAACAAAATAAAGTAAATAGACAAAAAATATCAGATTTCTGTCATGTAAAAAATAAAATAAAACTATTCAATAAAATACTGTAAATATACAAAAAATGTTGGAGGTTTGTCATGTTGAAAAAAATTTGTATATTCAATAAAATATTATAATACACTAAATAAAATGTTGGATGTTTATTATGTTGCAAATAAAATAAAATATTAGAATATTTAATAAAATATTATACATATATTAAATAAAATACTAGACATCTGTCATGTTGAAAAAAATATAAATAAAATATTAGAATTTTATAAAATAGCATGAAGATACTAAATAAATACTGACTTTTGTCATGTTAAACAAATTATAAATAAATTATTCGAATTTTTAATAAATTATTATACATATATTAAATAAAATACTAGACATGTTAACAATGAAATAAATATTAAAATATTCACTAAAATATTATAAATATAAAAAACTAAATTATAAATAATACTCTCATTTGCCAATTACACAAACATGTTCAAAGACATCTTAAATGCTAAATACATATGCACGTTTCCAAATCTGGTTCACAAAAAACGGACTAATCTCTTGTTCTGACCTCACAGTCTGGTCCGACAGCCAACCAGCATCACAGTTGTCATAGCCGTCATTGAAAGTGGCCAGCAGCTGGGCTGGCGTGGCAATATTGGCAGAGTTCTCCAGACAAACTCTTTTGGCGTCGGAGAAGGACAGCGCGTAGCGGTCGTGAGGCGCGCGGTAGTGGAAGACCACTCCTGTTTGGGAAAAAACAGAGTGCATGATGGGAACCATGCATAAACTATTTCCCAAATGAACAGCAATAATAGGTGTTTAACTTGACAAATGAAACAACGCAGGCCCCTTGAAATGCTTTATTTCCTGAATTTCACTTTCATTCCTGTTTTTCAGCCATTCCTCAATCCTCTGAGAAAGGCAACAGACAGGAACACAGTACAAAATAAGTGAAATCACAGCACCAGTTCTTTGACCAGTTTGAGGATGGACTTCCAGTCCGATGTACAAAGAAATTAGATTCCTGGGATTGCTTTTGAACTGTCCGTCTGCTATTCCCACATCACATCAGTTTGGAGTCCCTTTCGTCCTCTACTCCACACTCAACGGCTATAACCTCTGCTGTCGGCTGCCATCCCGGGAGAACGCACCAACATGAAAGGGACAAAGAAAAATCCTCAAAGCTAGGTGGGCCAATTTATGGTGAAACACTTCAGATGACGTCTTAAGGGGGAAGATTTCAGTCTCCTGAGCAATACGGCCCATTTCTTACCCAACCGTGGCAGCTACGCGTGACGCCCCACTTCAAAGGGGCACGGGAGGAAGACGTCTCTTTCATTTTTTATTTCCTTCCTTCCTTCCTTTTTTCGTCCTGCTTCTCTTTTTCGCTTCCCATTGGAGTTCAGGAGAGACTCGGAGCTTATAAAAATATTCACCGTCTATGACAAACATCTGGAGATGAGATATGTGGGACTCTCGTCTACTGAGGGATGCCGTATCTTATTAAAAAAGGGGGTCAGACTATCTCATTTCCCGAAGACATAATCCAAGGAAGGTCAGATTTACGACCAGTTAGCTAACAGTTTTGTTGAATGTCCATAATATTTTACTGAGTCTGAAATCTTAGCTACACTCTTTAAGGAATAGTTCATTCAAAAATGAAAATTTGCACAGATTTGGAGAAATATAGCATCACATCACTTGCTCACCAATGGATCCTCTGCAGTAAACCGTCAGAATGAGAGTCCAAACAGCTGATAAAAACATCACAATAATCCACACCACTCCAGTCCATTAATTAATGTCTTGTGAAGTGTTGTGTTTGTAATAAACAATTCCATCAATAAGGCGTTTTAACTTTAAACCTTCACTTCTGGACAAAATATGAGTCCATAATCCATAATAACGCTTCCTCCAGCGGGAAAAGTCCATTGTCCTCTCACATCAAAATCTTGTTTAGAGCTGTCTTGGGCTGTTTTCGCTTGTAAACTGTGCTGAATCTGTGCATATTTCTCTCCTGATTCAGACAAGATGACTTTTTCACTGGAGAAAACAATATTAAGGACAGAGGACTTATATTTTAGCTGGAAGCAACGGTTTGAAGTTAAAAACATGGTAATGATGGATTTGTTTCTTATAAACACAGCTTTTCACTTCACAAGATGTTAAAGGGTTAGTTCACCCAAAAATGTGTATATGACTTTCTTCTTTCAGATGAATCCAGTCGAAGTTATATTAAAAATTGTCTTTGATCTTCCAAGCTGTTTAATGGCAGTCAGCGGGTGTTGCAGTGCATCAGTCCAAAAGAAGTGAAATAAAGTGCATCCATCCATAATAAAAAGTGTCTCACACGGCTCTGGGGGGTGAACAAAGTATTAATCTAGCTTGTGCTCACTGTTGTACACGGAAGCAGCTCCGGACGGAAGGAGTAGGACGTATGGGTAGCACATGCGCCGTTGAGAAGTGACGAACGCGGAAGCGCAGGGGAGAGATCAAAACAAATCAACGGTCACGAATTAGAAGTACAAAATGAGGATTTGTAAAGAAGAATGTCAGAGGATTTGGATATAAGCCAAGAGGAGACTGGTTTTCCTCAACGGTCACGAATTAGAAGTACAAAATGAGGATTTGTAAAGAAGAATGTCAGAGGATTTGGATATAAGCCAAGAGGAGACTGGTTTTCCTTTGCTAAAGTAAGGAAACTTTGCTTGCTTTGCTCCTGTAAACAAACGTTGGTTTTCACGAGACTCACCGGCGCATGCGCAATGCCGACATCTTACGTAATCCTCCCAGAGCTGCTTCCGTGTACAACTGTTGGCGCAAGCTAGATTCAAGTGATTATTATATTTTGAATATGGATATTTTTCTAACAAAAACGCATCAATTCGCTACAGGACGCCTTTGTTCACCCCCCAGAGCTGTGTGAGGCACTTTTATTATGGATGGATGCGCTTTATTTCACTGCTTTTGGACTGATGCACTGCAACACCCGCTGACTGCCATTAAACAGCTTGGAAGATCAAAGTCAATTTTTTATATACAGTATCTCACAGAAGTGAGTACACCCTTCACATTTTGGTAAATATTTTATTATATCTTTTCATGTGACAACACTGAAGAAATTACACTTTGCTACAATGTAATTCTGTGAGATACTGTAACTCTGATTGGATTCGTCTGAAAGAAGGAAGTCATATACGCCAAGAATGGCTTGAGGGTGAGTAAATGGGCTAATTTAATTTTTGGGTGAACTATCCCTTTAATTGTCATGTTGATTAAGCTACTTGTTTTTATCAGCTGTTTGGACTCTCATTCTGATGGCACCCATTCACTGCAGAGGATCCATTGATGAGCAAGTGATTTGATGCTAAATTTCTCCAAATTTGTTCTGATAAAGAAACAAACTCATCTACATCTTGAATGGCTTGAGGGCGAGTACATTTTCAGCAAATTTTCAGTTTTGGGTGAACTATTCCTTTCCAAAAAGGTGTTTTAGCAGTGATGCCATAGAAGAACCATTTTTGGTTCCCCAAAGAACCTTTCAGTCAACAATTCTTAAAAGAACCATTTTTATCCTAGTGTGAAAAACATTTTAATAATCTAAACAATGTTTTTCCAGTATAAATAATATTGTGGAATAGTGCCAATAAAGAACATTTATTTTTGCAGAAATATCAATTAAATACATAATTATGCAATTCATTTGACTGCATTTGTGTGCATTTAAGTTATGTCACATAAATACAGAATAAAAAAATAAAAGCAAGAATGTTATCTGAGAAAGTTTTACTTCATAACAGACTGTGACCAAATGTGGTAGAACTTCATGTAATTTTTTATTTTAAATATTCCTGTAAATTGTCTCGACTCTTTGTTCCTTTCATTATCCAGTGCTTTGTGTTCAAAAATACATTGCTGTAGCACAATAAGGTGTGAAAGCGTCTAAGGTTGATGAATGCTTTAATTGCCAATGTTAGTGCTATTTCCATAAAAGCTCGTAACAGTAATGGGAATTTTTCATGATACTGGCTGGCAGCATGTTTCAGTGCTTTAATTGCTGAGCTCAAACTAATTAACCATTCAAACGTGCAGAGGAGGAGGTTTCAGTACATGAGCATGTGCATGTATAGCATTAATAATGCACTGGAAGTAAATAATAAAAATAATGCATTTTTTAAGAGTCACTCTCTCTCGTTTTGCAATTAGAAATTATGACTTCATCATTAATTTGTTCCCCTTTGCTGCTGAACGTTTAGGCCACGTTCACTGAAATCATGTTTGTGTTTAAACTATAAATAGTTTAATGCAATTCTTTCTTTGATATACAGTGTATATGATATACAGTGTGTTTGTTTTCAGTTATTATATATATAATCTTTATTATTACATTATGAATTTTGTGTATCTATGATGAACAATCTACTTTTGTGCTTAAAAGAATGACATTGATTTGCTGTGTCACTACTGCAGCACATTTAGCACCTGGTTAAAGCAGTTTGCAACGTGAATAAAATGAGGTTTTCTCTCTGTATGTTGTGTTGCGTGTAAAAATGCCACGACTGTTTGAAAAAATCACCTTGTGCACATTTCCACTCCACAGCCTCACGCAAACACAAGTACTGCAGCGCATGTTGGCATCGAATGAAGTCTAACTAACTTCATCAAGGTTTTGGCATAAATCTGAGCGTGCAAAAAAATGTAGCAGCTGCTTGATTCATGCCTCCGTGGTCTGATCAGATGGAAAACGCCACCAGATGTGCAGGAAAACTAATCATCAGCGCTGAGGACTGTAATTACAGCCCGTTTTTCAGATTAAATAATATATCAAGTCACTCAGTGAAAGCGTTTCTGCGAAAACCACTGAAAAGAGAAGTTAATTGCGATTTGTGCAAAATATTAACATTAAAGCGATAGTTAACCCAAAAATGAAAATCCTATTGTTTACTCATCTTCAAGTTGTTCCAAACCTCTATGAGTTTCTTTCTTCTGTTGAACACAAAAGAAGATATTTAAACAGTTGACAGAACCCATTGACTACCATAGTATTTTTTTTCCCCATACTATGGAAGTCAATGGCTACCAGCAACTCTTTGGTTTCCAATATTCTTCCAAACATCTTCTTTTATGGTCAACAGAAGAAAGAAACTCATACAGGTTTGGAACAACTTGAGGGTGAGTATTCATTTTTGGCTGAACTATCCCTTTAAGATGAAAGAAGTCAGCAGTAGTTTTATTAACTGTGATTGATTGGTTGTTTGACATGTCGGTCAAACGGCCTCAAAACGGCCTCATGTGCGGGCTTTGGCCAATGAAAGCTGCCATGGATTCCAGCCGTCAGTCTGAAGGTCTGGCTACGAGAGACTAGCTCTATACTGACTGTAATATGCTTTTTCATTTTCTTCATTTTTTTTTCATTTATTAATTGATTTAACTATTTTGGAGTAGTCTAGATCCATTTTATAAGTGGTAAGAGAAGTTATTTGTTGCATAAAATTTTTTATTATAAAAATAAGTAAATAAAGGGCCATGAGGAGTTATTTGTTACATAAATAATCATTTTGAAATATTAATATATTATATAAATGAAGGGAAAAAAATTAAGGCCAGGATGAGTTATTTGTTGCATAAAAAAATTATTATTTATTTAAATTGATAAGGGTCAGCAGGAGTTATTTGCTAAATAAATAAATACATTGATGAAAATGTAAAATGAAAATGTAGAAAACCAGGAGCAGTTACTTAC